ACAGAGAGAGACACAGCGAGAGAGGGAACACAAGCAGGGGGAGTGGGAGAGGGAGAAGCAGGCTTCCCGCCGAGCAGGGAGCCCTATGCGGGGCTCGATCCCAGGACTCTGGGATCATGACCTGAGCTGAAGGCAGACGCTTAACCGACTGAGCCACCCAGGCGCCCCTGGAGAACAATTTTAATGAGCAAAAAAGACCCTGAGGCCTGATAAAACACTTTAATATTATTTATCAGTGGGCCATTTTAGACAGGCACAGTTTTTTTGGATTTGTGAAAATAACCTACTCTCTTCTTTGCTATTTACTAAGCAAGGAAAAAAATGTACTTTTGTATGCATATATGCTATAATTAAAAACTAACAATAGATTTCTGACATTCAATTCTTAAAGTCAAATGTTTCAACTTTCCTAGGATACTGCAAGGAAGACATGAGAGTGAAATGAAATAATGCACTTTGAAGATCAGGCTTGCTTAGCAACAAATTCTGTGTTGGAATTATTAGGTTAATTTTGAACTGCAGGAACAAGAAAGATCAACCAGACTACTATGTGGAGGAAAAAACACTGTGGACTCTACAGTTCCAGTAAGAAACATTAAAACTCACATTCATAAACATCATTTGTTAGCTAAACCCTTCTTTTGTAATTCGTGAGAAAACAGGGGTCACTTATATTCTGTGAACACAATTCTATGAAGATCTAAACTCTCAAACTTGAGAAAATGGGTTTCTGGGGTGCATGGCTGGCTCAGTTGGTGGAGCATCTGACTCTTGACATTGGGGCTGTTGAGTTTGAGCCCCATGTTGGGTGTAGAGAGTACTTTAAAAAATAATTAAAAAAAAAAAAAAAAGAAAATGGGTTTTTCCTTTATTTAGCATGACCAAATTTTCTAGGTTACAAATTCCTAGAGGAGAAGAGGAGGTTCCTGCTTTGAGATTACTGCATTTTGTAGATAGTTCCCATCCATCTGACATGTGGGCAACAGCTACTATATGAAATGTAATATATAGAATAGCATCTTAATATTTTTTTAGTGAACCACATAGAGGGGCAGTACCATTATTTATTATGAGCAGAAGAAGAAAGAAATCATTACAGTCAAATATTATAGCAATAAAGGACATCTCTGCAATTATAATGAAAACTGAAATGATCTAATTAAAAAATGTACTTTATGATTCTTCTAGAACACATTCAATTCAACTAGCTTTTACTGTAAGACACGTTTCTTTAGTTACTAATCATAAACTCATACCATATAAGCAACTCACCGGTCCACAGGAGTTGATGTATTCTCAATAAAACTGATAACTTTTTCCCTGACATTAACGGATTTCGTCTTCAAAGCAACAGTCATTTTATTTACTAGTGATTTCATTCCTCTATCATTTGAGCCATTAGAAGATTCACCCTGAAAAAAAAAAAGAACTTACTGATAAATTAACTGTTCTCCTAATGATCAGCAGAGACACTACTGCTAAAGATTGTCTAGATGTTATGGACTGAACTGTGGCCATATGTTAAAAGTTCATTCTTCTAGTACACCTCAGAAAATGACTGTATGCAGAGATAGGGCCTTTAAAGAGTAAATTAAAGTTAAATGAAGTCATACAGATGGGCCTTAATTCAATATGACTAGTGTCCTTATAGGAAGAGGGGGAGACATCAGGGATGCACATACACAAGAGAAAAGGCCACGTGCGACCAGAGAGACAAGAAGGCAGTCATATGCAACCCAGTGAGACGCCTGAGGAGTAATCAAACCTGCAAACCCTTTGATCCCAGACCTGCAGCCTCCAGAACTATAAGAAAATTAACTTCTGTTTTCCAGAGTGGCTGCACCAGCTTGCATTCCCAACAACAGTGTAGGAGGGTTCCCCTTTCTCAGCCACTTTGGAAAACAGCATGGAGGCTCCTCAAAAAGTTGAAAATAGAGCTACCCTATTACCCAGCAATTGCACTACTGGGTATTTACCCCAAAGATACAAATGTAGGGATCCGAAGGGGTACGTGCACCCCGATGTTTATAGCAGCAATGTCCACAATAGCCAAACTATGGAAAGAGCCAAGATGTCCATCGACAGATGAATGGATAAAGAAGATGTGGTATATATATACAATGGAATATTACGCAGCCATCTAAAAAAATGAAATCTTGCCATTTGCAACAACGTGGATGGAACTGGAGGGTATTATGCTGAGCGAAATAAGTCAATCAGAGAAAGACATGTATCATATGACCTCACTGATATGAGGAATTCTTAATCTCAGGAAACAAACTGAGGGTTGCTGGAGTGGGGGGGGGGGGGAGGGATGGGGTGGCTGGGTGATTGACATTGGGGAGGGTATGTGCTATGGTGAGCGCTGTGAATTGTGTAAGACTGTTGAATCCACAGACCTGTACCTCTGGAACAAATAATACATTATAAAAAAACAAAGAAAATTAACTTCTGTTGTTTAAGCCAACTACCTGGTTGTATTTTGTTATGACAGGCCTTACAGACCGATACACTAGATAAAACCATTTTAGGGATGGGAATAAGAAATGAAAAATGAGGCTATATGTTGCATATATAAATGAATAAAGTCTGACATCAAAAACTAATGATGTAATGAATGGTGACTAACATAATGTAATAAAATAAAATTTAAAAAAATGCATAAAGTCTGAAACTACCTTCTTTATTCAATAAGAAATAAAGTTACTGACCTTTTAACTTCAATTACTCCATAAAAATAATCAAAAGTATAATCAGAATATCATTCAGGTGGCTAAATTTTTAAACATTTATTCCTTATAAATTTTTGCTGTTTAAATATTTTCACCTAGGCCTTTAATTTCTCAAGAAAAATTATTTTTATGTACCTAATGTAATAGGTGTGAGTGTAATTCTTAAACTGTTTCACGGAATTGCTCCATACTCTCTAAAGGGCAAGTTAGCAAGAGGTGTCAGAAGTTTAAAAGTGTGCCCATCTTTTGCCCATTAATTACTCTTTAGAACTTGAGAAGGAAATTAGAAAGTGCCCTAGGATTTAGGTATTATTAGATGGAAAATTAAACAAATTTTAAAAAAACAAATGCTTTTAAATAGGCATTTTATTTATTTTTAAAGTTTTTGTTTTAATTACAGCTAGTTAACATATAGTATAATGTAAGATTCTAGTGGTGGGGCTCCTGGGTGGCACAGTCCGTTAAGTGTCTGCCTTCAGCTCAGGTCATGATCCCAGGGTCCTGGGATGAGCCCTGTGACATCGTTATTGGGCTCCCTGCTCAGTGGGGAGCTTGTTTCTCCCTCTCCCTCTGCCAACTCTCTCAAATATATATATGGGTGGACTGAAGTTATAATCATGTAAATTTGTGGTGGGGGGGTACAGATATGGTCTGCAGGAGATGTGACCATAAGGCTCAGTATTCTTTTGGCTCATACTAATTGGGAGATTCCTAGAACCAGATCACTTGGGAGTCCCAGCTAGTCATAGGACTCAGTATTATCTCCATTGATATTTAAGCTGAAGCAGAAAATTGTCACTAGATGATACCAAACTGCAGCTGGACAGGGAGAAATCTGATTCAGCAGGTGGACCTCCAGAACTCCTGGCTAGTTTAGATGTGCAGGCCTGTTCCATCATTACATTAAACTTGCAATAATATGACTTGTCACTCTATGTGTTTGAAATATTTTGACTCCATTTCTGTTATGGTGAGAGTTTAACAGTTAGTTACCTTTCCTGGGCATTTATCCAAATCTGGCGACATATTCTACACATACACTTACATCAACAGAAGAATTGATACTGCTCCTTGAGCCTGAGGTACTAGCAATCCAATGGCCATATCCATTTTCTGGTCCATCCACATTTATGTCCGCCAGGTGCTGCTGCAGTGCTTAAGATAAGCAAGAAGAAAAAAAACAATAGCTCACATTATCAACCCCCTTTGGAAAGATTCATTACCAGAGACTGTAATAAACATGTCATAGCTGAATGAAAGAGGATCCAAAGATAGAATTACAGGTATTTTTTTCTGTACCTCTGTAAAGGAATGAAGGACTCTAAGCTACAGAAAGCCTTCTTCTTCTTCTTCTAAAGCCCTCTGTACAACTACAATTTTTCATTACTGACCTTAAGGATGACAATAACTATATATAGACTTGATGTTTTCCTCTTTGGAAGGGTATCTTTAAAGTATTAAGAAATAATCTCAGCAACACTTTTATGACATAAGGGATTAAAAGAAAACCTATGGTGGCTTTTGTTTTACCACAGACATCTAATTAATCTTTCCCGTAGTAAAGAAGGTATTAACTGCTATGGAGAGATTATTTTTGAAAAAGAAATAATCCATAATTAGAAAAAAGCTTCTAAAACCTAGACTATACCATAAAGACTGCTTTTCAGATACTTTTGATAATAAGCTTAATAACCAATTCTGTATCATGCTGTCAAAATTCCTAATAAATCACACTGGGCATAAGGCCAATACTTGCTTAACACTACTTATTAAAGTAACCCCTTTTGCAGATCACTCTGGGTATGAGCCTCAAAGGTTGTTAGTTATCAGGCCATGATATGTAGGAGATTAACATAATCCTTGCTAATATCAAAGACCAAGAGGAAATAAATAGATCCTAATCTATCAAAAATTCTAAGTTATAACACAAGATTGTATTAGGTCAGAACTTAATCCTTATGAGACTCTCATGATTCAAACTTATGATTCTACTACTCAACAAATATTAATTTTACTATTAAAGGCTCTTTATTTCTTAATTGAAATATACTTGACCTATAACACTGTATAAATTTAAGGTATACAACATGTTTGCTTTATATACTGTAATATGATTTCCATTTTGGCAATAGTTAGCACCTCTACTGCATCACATGGAAAATTAAACAAATTTTAAAAAAACAAATGCTTTTAAATAGGCATTTTATTTATTTTTAAAGTTTTTGTTTTAATTACAGCTAGTTAACATATAGTATAATGCAAGATTCTAGTGGTGGGGCTCCTGGGTGGCACAGTCCGTTAAGTGTCTGCCTTAAGTAGTGTTAATAACCATTTCTTTTTTATGGTGGCAATAATTAAGATTTAGTCTCTTCGCAAGTTTATCATAATACAATATTGTTGTCTATGTTCACCATACTTACAGTACTCCAGGACTTATTTTTCTACTAGTCACAAGTTTGTACTCTTAAATAACAACATTTGTAAAAAAGACAGTCTCTTTTTAATCTTTTTACCCTGACCTAATCCTTCATAAATTCTCAAATCTCTGCCTGCAGAGATTTGGCAATTATTTTACTATCCCGGATTACCAGATATTAGTCTGAAGATTTGAAAACATCAGTTTGTTTTATTCCATTCCATATTTTTTTAGCAGCTAATACTTTCAAGTAGCTCAAAAATTAAATAAAAATATAACAAAAAAGAAAGAGTATGAAAAGTATTTCTTCCACCCTTGTTTCCCAGTCCTATCTATTCTACCTTCTCCATAAAGACAAATCATGTAGACATCTAGATGCTACTTTTTTACAAATACAAGCTCATTAAACATATCTACTGAAATAATCTTCCATTAAATATTTGCTCATTTCAATTGTCTATTGTGTTTGTCTGTTATCTATATGTCCTGCTTGCCTTGTCTTTTCTGAAAATATAGAATGACTGAAGAGAGAGTTTATCCATTAACTAATTTGGTCACTCCAAATCAGGTCTGGTGATATAATTTCCTCTGAAAAGTGGAGGCAAAGCGATTAATAAATTAAAACCTTACCCATAAATCCTCCACTGGCAATGCTCACATATTCTTTGTTTTTCTGTAAAAAAAACCAGAACTTAAGTTATTCCAAAATGCAATTTAATTAAAACCTCTCATAGTTCTATAAATATTAACAAATGTAATATAAAGCTATACATTAGATTTCTGGACTTTTTCTTTGACATTTTGGAAGCTGACAAAAAGATATACATAAATTTACCTTATACATTGTAAGGTCTGTGTTTGGGTGGAAAGAAGGGGACAACTTCATAGCTACTAACAATATTATGATTTTATTTGTATTATAGTTCCAATAATATAATAAAGAGTCAAACCAAAACCAGTAAAATTATATTTTTGGATATAATTAGAGTAGTTTTTAAAAGCTTTCAAAATATGTTGTGTCCCTCATAAAAAATATAAAAACAAATATTAGAGCTAATTATGAGTAAGAAATAACAGCATGTTACCATTTTACAAACTACTACAAAAATTAATGGATCTAATAAACAATGGCAAAGAAAGAATGAGACATAAAGAAGAGAGATATCAGGGCACCTGGGTGGCTCAGTCAGTTAAGCGTCTGCCTTCAGCTCTGGTCATGATCCCAGGGTCCTGGGATAGAGCCCCACATCAGGCTCCCTGCTCAGCGGGGAGTCTGCTTCTTGCTCTCCCTCTGCTCCTCTCCCTGCTTGTGCTC